TTATCGTTGAGATGTTTTACAATAAGATAGAAAATGATCTCGTTTTATTTTGTAGTCTTTAAATTATTTTTCGACGATATAATAATATTATTAAAAATATTAATATGTTATGATCAATAACCCTTTGTAAAGTTTTGTTGACATAGTGATTTTTGTTATATTATCGTTGAGATGTTTTACAATAAGATAGAAAATTATCTCGTTTCGATATTTCAAATTTAAAGATTGACTATGAGTTTCTGAGTGTTGAGGGTGAATTTCGAATTTACTTTTATACTTTTTCCAATATATTTCCTCGTGTAATGCAGAGGAATTTTTGCTAATTCGTTAGAATTCGTGTCCTTGTACGCCGGCGCCGAAAGCGGGGCGACGCCTCGGCGTCGCCATCGCGATCGATAGGTGCGTCGCGGGTCCGCCATTTTCTAGAGAGCGTGCAGATCTTGCGAATCTCGTTTTTCTTCTCTTTTCGATGCATACATCGCCAGTCGCCATTTTATACAGCACACAAGGACACCTCGATCCTATTTTATAGACATATACTCAATTGAGTATATTCAATTCTCAATTCTCGATTTAAACAGCTATACTTGCTCCAAATTTCATTCCAATATCTCAAAAATTGAAGACACTATAGTATCTCGAAGTATAGCTTGACTACTATACATTTCTGGTTTTAAAAATCGCCTTGTTTCTTTTATTTTTATTTTTGACAGATGTGTCGCTAATCCGCCATTTTCTAACAAAGTAGGACAAATATCACGATTATTTTTTCTCCTCTATTTTCTTCTTTTCCCTTTTTGAAGAATGGTTCGAGTTTCTCTTCAAGATTGAAAAGGCCAACGTTATAGGAAGATATATCATAGTTACATGTTTAGGGAACATTTAGAAGGCACTTAAGATTCACGGTAGCGCGCGAGTTTTCGAAATTGGGAGATTCGAAGGTCCATTAACAGCTACTAGAGCCAATTAGCGCTTTTCCAAATCCGTCAAACAAGCTGAGAGGCGGTGCCAGATGCCCGGGCGCTTTACAAGTCACCCGGTATATAATGGGTCATAAATCTTGCTCTGTCTCTCTTGGGATCCTCCGAAGGGTGAACGCCAAGTCCTCCGGTAGGATTCTTCGGCACTTTCGGCTTTGGAGGACTCCAAAGTAATCGTGTTTCGCTTCTGTTGCACCTCGACCTTTCTAGACTTTGTTGCGATATTGAACGTGTGCATTCGACTTTCCTTTTCCAGCAATTTTCGAGAATCGGTTATATACCGATCCTTTATCGATTCCAAAAGCGGTGGTACATTATTTCCCAATTGGTTTTGCGAAAATTAGGTATTATTTTACTATCGTCTCGAAAATATTGCGATATTAACTCACTGGCAAATAGGTTTTACAAAAATTCGATGTCAATTCAATATGGGTTGGAAAAGATTTGGAAAATTGGTTTTCTATTCGATTCTAAAATATCCAAATTCGTTTCTTCATTCTCTTTTCTAAAATATCACCAATTCCCATTAATTCCAAGGAAACAGAACATAAATTCATCGAATCATTATCAATGCACACTCTCTCCTCGATCCTGTTTCACTCGTATCGCGAGTGAATCACTGCAGAACGTCCAACAGTCATCACCCCGGATTACCTGTTCGCTATCAGGCACAGAGCCAAAGAGTCGCGCTAACGATTCATTATTTTCCGACTCGAAAAGAAGAAAAAGCGAGCTGCTGGTTGTTTACACGGCGACCCGCGGCCAGCGTTTTGTTTTAATCGACAATGAGCAAGAGGAGAGAAAGAGGCGTAATAAAGAGCGACGCATGGCTGCACGTGTCCACGGGTATTGTCTCCTTCTCGTTCCCCGTAGAGAGGAAATAATTAAGGGAGAGATTCGCGAGTGAGATAGACGCTGATAAAGACCGGCGAAATGAAAAGAGGGTGGCCCAGCAGCTTCCCGTTCGATCTTATCGAACTCCATCCACCTCGTTAATTTTCGCCACTGGAATTTTGAACCGTGCACTCGTCGAAAATAATTCTTTGCCGAAGCGTCGAACCCAATTGCGCCAATCGCGACGTCTATTGCGTGTTAAATGCTAACCCTTTCACGAGTACGGAAAATAACGGTATCTTTAGTAAGAAGAACGTTCCGAGATTATATCAGCAAAATTTGAAGACGATCCGACGATAAATACGATATTTTCACGCGTTTATCGGAGTTCCGGGCCGTGGTGGCGCTAGTGAGTTAGGGTTAATCTACGCGTCACGCGCTTAGATCGCGATTGAAAAATATAATTGTTAATTTAGGCACGACTGGATGAGGTAATCTTATTCTCCGCGAGTCGTTCAACCGGTTGTTAATTGTTGGTCCTGTATTTTTATGCTCTATAACAATGTTAGAGATAGGTGTAGGAAATTAGTGTGCTCCGAGGCATAAATTTCTCGGTCGAAATCGAAACGCGTTGACTTAGGTCAAGATGATTTACACCCCGGACAGGATACTCGGTAGTCCTTTCGCCGGGCTAAATATAAATCCGGAGAACTATTACGGTTCCTCGAACGGGAGTCCTCTACTCTTCCTTCCAATCGTAAAGTTTCACGAGCCATAGAGCGAGCAGAAACTCGATTTGCATCCTCTGTGATCGTGTATCGCTCGATCAAAGGACACACTTCGCTCGTTCAGAGTCTACTCAGTAAGCACGAGATCACAGACAGACGTTTATATCTTCCTTTCTTCCTGAGTCTTCAATCGTAGAGCTTCGCGAGCCTCGGATTTGCCTATTCTGGGATCATATCCGAGAAAAAGAAATTCTTCTGGTTTGATAAACATAAATCGTGTAATGAAATTACGATTCGTCTATATTTCTCGATCAAAGAACATACTGCAGTCGTCTAAAATGTACTAAAAATTCTAGTAACAAGGTAGTTATATACTTTGCCCTAATTGTAAATTAGCTTATGGTTACCTTAATCTTAATACCACGAATTTTCAACTGTATAATCTAATAAGGAATAGGATGAACAGATCGATTTGCACTCTGTCAGGTTATTGCATTGAAGCATACACTT